AAATTAACGCAGTCTATTCCCAAAGAGGGCACAGATCAGAGAAAAGTAAGTAAAGCTACTAGAAGCCTGGAGGGCAGCTGTGGTCCCCTGGTACGCCACAAATACTGGCACACAGCCCGTGTGCTCAGAATGGAAACACTCGGAGGAGCCAGCACAGCGACGCTGCTACCAACTGGAGGGCAGGAGGAAACAGGAAATGTGACACTCTACCTTGAGTCATTGCTCTAAACACAAACAAAGCTGCCTTACAATGAATAACTCCATACAGAGAAGTGACAGTAAGCATCTGCACAACTAGCACAGAAAAAGAGTAGTGCCACACTGAGGCTGAACACAATCCTGATTTAGACCCAAGTGCGAGAAGCCTTGTATTACAAATTGCTTCTGCGGCAAAGGAGGACTGAAAAATTTAAGCATTACTGCATCAGGAATATTATTAGGTGGTTTATTTTGAACAACACTGGGGCAAAAAGTGGTCAACAGTTATGAGATCGTATTTATTCTCCCATCACTTTTGAGTGTCAGGTTGTGAGGAAAAAAATGAAGCCTAAAACACAGAGTCAGGAAGAGGGATTTTACTGATTGATGCTACATAACATGGCTGAACACAAAAACATTCCGCATTAACCATCCAGTTATATCAAGTCTAGGGCTGAACGATTATGGAAAATAATCTAATTGCGATTTTTTTGCCCCAATATTGCGATTGCGATGCGATATGCGATTATTTTTTAAGGTCTTTGTCTTCTGTATTATTAAACAAAGACAAGCAATACATCATATAGTATGGCCAATACTATATTACATTAATTTTAAACTGTTCTTTCCTGGAAGACAGACCTCTGTTATGATGACATGAGGTGATGCATGAATTGATGACTGACATTTTTATTTAACTTCTTCAATCACAACAGTATATTTGAACATACACAATAGTTTATTTTTAGCTTACAAACATCTGAGCATAAAGTGCTGACAAGGAACCCTGGTGTAAACATTAAAATGAAAGTCAGTACAATGTGCAGATTGCAGAAATATACATAAAAAAAATCAGTGGCTTTACCACACTCAGTTTTTCGACATCTGTGAACTACTAGACAGTCATTCAATTAAAAAATAATATTAAATAAATAAAACTAATAAATATCTTACTGATCTCTGCAGTCAGTAACATTATACATAAAGTGCAAACATAATAGCAATTGTATAAACACACACACAAACACGCCTTTAAAATTTAAAGGCGTGAAATTGGACGGTCTAGTTCTGATTAGCGTCACCGCTGTCTCGGTGGAGTTTAATAAACTCGGCCGTCTGCTTCTTGCTATCTAAAATATAACCAGACACTGGTGTAAATTCTCGACTGTCTCATACTTCTGTTTAATAAGTTTTCTGTTTGACGTTTAGTCAGCTGTGTGAAAACCAAGGAGGAACCCACCCGGGGGATTAATAAAGTTTTATTTTATCTAATCTAATAACTTTAATCTCAGCCAAACCGATTTACTCACGAACAAACAAAACACTGAAAAAAGCCCAACAATAACATTTTTAGGTTGTCTAAGTGACTTATATATTACGTTTAACCCGAGCAGCGAAACTCCGCGGTGATCTGAAAATGATGTGCCGGGAGTTGTGCCGTTCTCGGCCGCATCAGTAACCCTCGAGCTCCCGGCTAGCTGTCGAGCTGGTGGGTAGCAGACGCCTCTGAAAACGTCGAAGCACTTTTGCAAATATGGGATATCTTGATAAACCGAGCAGATATTTGATGTTTACACAACTACTTTCTCGCCTGAAAATATGTTAAAAGTTTATTTTGTGACCCAGAAAGATTAGTATGAGTAATTTTAAAACTTAGTAGCGGCCGCCATTGCTGGAAACTGGAGTTTGGCTGGGCCGCGCTATGAATTCTGGGATATGGTAGTAATTTGGACAGCCTTCGGCACGTCGCTGTGACATAATCGGTCTACAAATGCGGCCTCAGGAGGATGCAGCCCATGAATTTGGACATGTCCAGAGTATAATCGCAGCCTTTGCGGTTAGAAAATTGCACTTGATCATGTCGCGATATTATCGCAAATGCGATATATCGTTCAGCCCTAATCAAGTCATTTATCCCATTAATGTTAATAAGCGACAGCTTAATCTGCTACAGGCGATGATTTCTGTTTAAGAGTGTCTGACACAGATGAGCAGCCTTCTGCCAGATAAAATGCTTCCAGCTCTCTCAGAGTGTAGTTAAGCAAAGAGGGGCTTTGAGCTATGTGCTAACAAGTAGAGGATAATATTTACCAGCAAATTCATTTTTCATGACAGCATTTGCTTTGAGCTTTAAAAGCGAGGAAATGTTTGTATTAGAGATGGACCAATCCGATATTACGTAATCGGTCCGATACTGACGTACATTACTGGATCGGATATCGGAGAGAAATAAAAAATGTAATCCGATCCATTAAATATCCAAAAAGCACCTCACAGAACTTGCAACACAGCGTAACTCGGCTCATAACCGTAGCACGTCGGAGCAGTGTGCCCACGTGATAGAGCGGCTGTGTGTATTTGTAGCCTCAAACCAGCATTTCATCTCCGATTATCCCAGAGAGAAGTAAAGAAAGTGTGTAAGTTCATCTCTGAATGTTTGTAAAGCATTCCCACATTAAGCTGCTACTTCAATCGTGAAACTGATTAATGATCAGCTGATCGGCTTTTCTGTCGAGTCCGTCTCGCTTGTCTGTTTTTGGCCCACTTCGCGCCAGAAAGAGGAAACCAGCGGCTGAACAACAGCAGCACGTTTAAGCTTGATAAGCTGTTGTTAGAATTTATTTACTTTCTAGAGCAGGATCCTTTTCTATGCAGCTGACGGCTGCTAACTGTGCAGGGGCGGATCTAGCAAAGTTTAGCCAGGGGGGCCGATAGGGCATGAACAGGGAAAAGGGGGGCACAAAGACATACTTTTCTTTCTTATTCTCATTTAAAATATCTAGCTTTTAATAAATAATTATCTGAATCTTACACCCAAAGTTTTAATCTTATGTAAAATGTATAGAAGTCCATGATTGTATATAGTAACTGTTAAGTCTAATATACCCTAGTAAGCTATAGTACTTTTTCCTTTGGGAAGGTACCATCTGTGCAGTCTGCAATTCTGTTGAAGAAAGATGTTGAATCTATTTAATTATTCTTGAAAAATAATTGATTTCTGTGCATTTTTTTTCCACACTGCATCAAATTAAAGTTGATTACGTTGATTAAGCATCATGAGGTGGAGGGTGGGGGGTGGTTCCTTTTTTTTGCTGGGAGTTTGCAACCCTATTAGTTAGGTTGCTTACTATTTCTGCTAAGTACTCTTTAAAATACCAGAATAGGAAGGATTGAGTAGGTTTAAGTTCATTAGATTGATCAGTGTCGCTGAACTATGAAATATTTTGGGTGCAGTGTATTTACACATACAGGTATAACAGAATAGCTTTAGTGTTGTTGTTTATTTAAACTTGAGTATGAACTTATAGAAAATGCAGCAATATATTAAAAAAAACAGTTTTATTGATTAAAAAAACACTATCGGATTCATATCAGTATCGGCAGATATCCACATTTATGATATCGGTATCAGTCATAAAGTGGTATCGTGCCATCTCTAGTTTGTATGCAAATATGCAATAGAAGGGGGGAAAAGCGCTGACAGTGGTGCCTGCATTTCTTTTGGTCTGAAGTTGTGTTAGGTGGGGGTTTTCTGTTGTTCTTTATTTTTCTTAACATATTTGAAAAACAATGCTGTCAACACGCTTAGTGAAGTATTGTATGTGACAGTCATGCCTATGTTGAAGCTGCCTTTCCTGCCAAAAAATATCAATTTTTGTCCTTAACAGCTCAGTGTTATTTGTTCCTTTATGGAGAAAGTCTCCTTAGATCATGTAAACAGTGCACAGGAACCCTTCACTGGCTTTTGGAGCAGTGACTTTAGATAGAATCTCGCTTGACCTGTAGTTTTCACCTGGAAAAGGGGCATTACAATGCAAACAGTCTGACAGACAGCACTCAGACAGATTTGGCTTGGTAGATAAACTGAGACAGTTGAGGCAACACCAACTAGCTTTGCTGTGAACACAAGGAGTGGTTACTGTAGTTCTGCAGTTACCAAAAGCCTTTCAGTAAGACAAATAGTGAAGCCTGTTACACATTTACTCACAGAGCTAGAGTTAAATCCAGTATCTCTTACTTCACTCAAATTAAATGCTGACAATAACAGTGGAGTGATTTATTCATTTTTGTTTATAATTAACGGCAAACACAACTAACCGTTCTATTTTACTGGGACATTACAAGTGGTGGAGTGACAAACCAATCAAACAGTGTTGGACCACGGTAGCAAAGCTTTAGAATAACTGAAAAACACCTTCAATAGGAAAAACGGCAGTGTGTAATCTGTTAGTAAATCTGTGGGTGGAAGCTAAATGAAACCGCAAAGCAGAAAGTGTAAAGCATGCCTAAGTAACTGGTCACAGGGCCCATATGGGGTAAATGCTAATGCTTAAACACACTGTACCATAAGTAAAGTGTTAGCTACCATTAACAGCCTGTTCACACATCATGTCCCAACAAGTTCAATGAAACCAAAAGCAAAAGCAACTCCATTAGAAGCTTCAGCCACTGGAGACCAATGGCGTTTATGTTCTCAGTTTGACTTCAAAAATGAATGAATGAATCATCATTACAACAAAAAATAAATAAATAAATAAAACTTTCCAACAATGCATCCTAAATGAATACACATCACAATATGTTCTGCTATACATTCATCCACTTCTCCAATAGTTTCTTTGTTGGTTTTCTGCACTGAGGGAGATTTTTGGAGTAATAATACTGTAATGTGAGATGTGAAAAAGCAGAACTTCCTGCTACAGGAGCCATCTCTTCCTCTGTAGAGAAATGCTGCTGAATCCTGGTAACCTACGGTATGCATTTCTTTTACGCTTTAGCAGAATGAAAAGGTTGAGACTTACCAATTTTCTGATTGAAAATTTTGTCAAATGTCAGTTCATCTCTCTCCTCCAGGTACTTCTGCATCACACTGCGAATGCTGTGAACACAAGGTGGTGGGGAGAGGAAGAAGCAGATTAATATGCAGCACAGTTAGCAGCTCACTAAGCTACATGCAACAGCAGCCCAGCCTCCAGTCAGAGATCCGTCCCAGGTTTGGAACTCTCCCGTCCCCACACAGCAGGAAAGGGACAAGGACACAAGGGAGGCTACAGCAGAACCTAGAGAGATACACGCTACCCTGGGAGCAGGTGTTAATGAAAATGAGAGCAGGGAGAAAGAATCAATTAGCGCCCCCTCCATAGGCCCATTAACACTTCACCAGCTCACTTCATACACAACAACAGCAGAGGAAGGCTTCACCTACAAACACCTCTGCATGCACACTGAGCATGTGCGAGGTGAACCCTTAACCGCAGTGGCCAAGATGATGATACAATAGCAGCGACCTTATCAGACTTGTGCATCATTTCTCAATGCATTACAGTGCATAACTCATTAATGGGACACACCACAATAGTTAGCTTTTCAACAATGTATCAGTGTAAAATACTGAGCACTCTCCTATTGAAATGGTATTTTCAGTCTATTTCTAAGCATGTGAATGATTCATATTCAAGAGTTAACTAAAACACATTAGAATATGTAAAAAAAAAAAAACTAAAAAAAACGCAGGCTTTACATTTTTTTCATGTGTAAAAAGGAAATGATGCGCTAAAACGATAAGTCGATTAACATCCGTCGTTTCTGTCTACAAATGAAAACAACAAATTAAACTTCCAGTGCACACACCCAGCATCAACCAAAGCACTGTCCACTGGCTACAAAGGCACTTCCATCAAACATTTGCATGAATTACAGTATACATGCCATAAGACAGCCACACACACACCCAAGCTACGACTACAACTAAACGACTTCATGCCCAACTGAAAAAAGGGGTGCTATGCAAGCTACTAGAGCAGGGCGATATGGCAAAAAATATTTATCACGATATATATTTGAAAATTTGCGATAATTGATGCGAGACAAAATACAACTCCACAACATTACTAGCGCAAAAAGACAACCTTCCATTTATTTTCACTTAAACAAGAAGCTGGTTTTTATGTACATTAAAGCTTTATAAAAATGTAACAGTGCAAATGCAAATTCCTTGCTGAAAGTTTAACCAAAAGGCATTTCCAGTAGAAATGTGCTGACATATCCTGAGCATAACCATGTATAATATCCACTGAAGTTAAAAAGAGGTGCTTTGCAACATTAAACTGCAGTGTGCAGTACGCATTTTTCGGACCATAAGGTACACGGGATTATAAGGCACATTAAGCGAAACAAAGCAGTCAGATAAATCAAACTTTATTAAACTCATTCTTCTTGCTTCTTCCACTTCTGTACCATTGATTCATTAATGGTGAATTCTCTGGCAGCTGCTCTATTCCCATGTTGTTGCAGTATATTAATGACTAACCTCGTATTGTGGATGGATTATCTCAGTTGTTCTCCTGACTGAAGTTTGGTCCGTTTACAGCATCCTGCCATGCGATTGCATTTGTCTCTAACTATCAGGAACTTTAACGTTAACTTTTATAAGTGGAAAAGTGTTAGTGTTCGTCCTCCAGCTTCACTGTTTATGTTATGCTAAATGTCGCTAGCGATCAGGTAGCACATCATTATATACCAGCTAGCCCAACTTCAGTAACCCTACAAACGTCACTGCTGTTTAGTTTCCTGTCTTCATTTATGTTGGAAGTGATAGCAGAGCTGTACGTTTGATTTTTTTCAGAAATCTCTCAGTCTGAACATGCTATATCATGCTTAGGTAACTAGCGAGCTAACTTCCGATAGCTTCCTGCTAACTTCTAACTCCGTTAAATGTAATAACTTTTGTTTTCATGGATGCCTGGAAGTTAAACTTTATAGTTACACCTGGTAAAGCAGCAATGCTGATCGTTTTATTAAAGATGAAAGAATTGAGACAGTTTTTAACTCTAAGTGATGCTGCAGTGTTGTTTGACCTGAAGCGACGGAGTTTAGGACCCAGATTACTCCCAGATTTAAGAGCATCTTAGTCCGACAAATATGACAATAACAACGGCCGCTTGCATGTTCTGCAAAAAAATGTGCTTTGTTGTGTATCTGACGGACAAACACCAAACCAGTTCCACATCACGGAAGTTTCACCATTTTTACAAACCAATTCTGGTTCATCTGTTTCACTCAACAATCGGCCATGTGCGTATGAAAACAAAGGCACTGCGCATGCGCGTTTTACTCCCATTCTATCGCGATATTTCATTTTCCTATCGTTGCCTAACATTATACCGGTATTACCGTGAACGGTATAATATGGCCCAGCCCTACAAGCTACAATTCAATTATATTTATATAGCACCAAATCACAACAACAGTCGCCTCAAGGCGCTTTATATTGTAAGGTAGACCTTACAATAATACATTCAGAGAAAAAAACCCAACAATCATATGACCCCCTATGAGCAAGCACTTCGGCGACAGTGGGAAATAAAATCTCCCTTTTAACGGGAAGAAACGTCCAGCAGAACCAGGCTCAGGGAGGGGCGGGGCCATCTGCTGCGACCAGAGAAAGAAAACAGGATGAAGGACATGCTGTGGAATAGAGCCAGAAATTAATAACAAGTGTGATTCAGCAGAGGTCTATTAACACATGTTGAGTGAGAAAGGTGACTGAAAAGGAAATACTCACTGCATACAGACTTCCCAGGTCTTATTCCCACACAACTTTATCTAGTTATGTGGTAGAGCAACTTAAAAAGGCAAAAACTACAGCAGGCTGAACCCTGAATAAACCAGCACAGTAGCAGTTTCTCCCCATGGAGGATTACTCTGAAAATACAAAAACAGAACCTATCTGGACCAGAGAGTGGAAACACTAACAGGCCACAGTAAGTCAGACACCAACAACAAGACCAAGGTATACACAAATTTTGTTCAACGTTGCATCACACCCAATATGGTGGACAACTCTCAGGCAACGTGAGCATGACATTATGTGAGAAACATGCTGTAACGGCCAGAGCTGAGATGGTAAAATTAGCCAGCAGCCCAGTGCTCTGCATCCTGGGCTTGTTTGGGCTGATTTTCATGGGAAAGTGGGAATGAACATCAACTGCAGCCACAGCAACAGGAACAAGAACCTAGGAAGTAGACACTTCCTCTTTTAGAGGTTTGTGTGCCCCACTGAATCATTAGCAGCTGACTCTGGATTATTCGCGCTAAACTGCACCACATAAAAGCAGCTGGTAATATTTACTGTACAAGTCATGAATTATTGGACAGTAAACACTGAAAATGCTGTGTGTGGGGTGGAGTGGGGGGGAGGGGGGAGGAGACTGCTACACTGTATCTAGTTAGTGAGGTTAGCATTGAGTTTGCTAATGAAACATAGTGTATTAAAATCAAATGAAGAGCATGTTGGAAGAAACCAAGCACATAATCTGCCTTTGACTGCTCAAGATTTGAAAGATCACCAACTGCAGTGACACATACAACACTGAGCAAACACACGTTTGTGGCGGAAAGATAAACCCTCAGAAGCACAGTCTCACAACACTGTCATGATGGTGTCACAGATGCATAGACATCGATGTGAACAGCTTTCATTGTTTTATACCAGTGCAGCCTCCAATAACAGCAGCAGCATTAGCTCACGGGAGCAGATGACCGGAGCAGATCAGAAAACAAAGCCTCCCAGTGTAGAAATGCAGTGTGACTGACAGTGACTGTGGGCAAAAAGACAGAAATAAAGCAGTATTATTTACAGGCATCCCCATGACACTGACAATCTGTGAGTGGCATGGTGTCAGAAGGGTATGAATGTAGCATTAACGCTTGTAGGCACTACCTTCACTTATTGTGCGTCTTTATCTGCTTTGTCCACAGTCTCAACAGTCCCCACACATTTCTGAGGAGGACCGTGGCTGCAAGAGGTGGTGTTCAAAAGTCTAGCATTGCACTGGGCAGGTATCGGAATAATAATACATCCTATTTCTCCATCTTTAAGCATGATAACCAGCCGGTGGGACCAGTACATCCAGGTACTGAGGATCAACCAATGAGCCACAAAGCAGAGATACTAAAAACCCGGGACACTTTTAGGTTTTTAGATGACCTATAACAATGATGGATGCAGCTGACAGAAGACAACTGATATCAGCTTAAACACACATCTCCTCCAGTCTTGTGTCAGTGTGTCGCCACGACCTCACCTCACACAACTTTTTTGGAATTAGAGGCGAGATAAACAAGTGTCTACATTACACTCCAATTTCTTTTTTTCCAAGTCAGTACAGCAGACAGAAATATCACCTGATTTCTCACTGATGATGATTGATCGATCACCCGTACGCATCGAGATGCATCCGTGTTGCAAGTGTCGGGCGTGTTTACAGGTTGAATATGCCCCTGCTGTAAGGAAGCTTTCATTTCTTATGAATCTCAGAACTTAAGACCTCAAAGAGGAAATTAGACAAACATCACCTTAACTGGCAAGCTGTCACCACTCACCCTGACCATCATCAATCTCAGCACCCACTAGCACAACCATTACAACACAATTCAACAAAATCTTCTGCTGCCTCCTCTGCGACCTTCATCAAAGCCACTCAACGGTGATTTCTGCAGCGACAAAGTAGCGCCCTGGAGGCAGAGACCCTCCCAATGTTAGGTGACCTGATTCTTTACCTCGCTACACCCCCTGACTGCATTTCACTGCAGAAAAAACAGGTTTGGTACACACTTGCTATTACATTGAAGCTCAGCCTGTACTAAGCAGAAGTGATGCTAGTCGCAGTAACAAGCTGCAGGTGGGTAAAGGGGTTACAAAACCAACATGTGTGAGGTCTGACTTTCAGCTCTGCATTAAAAAGGTCACACACAGGAAAGGATTCTGAAATAGGTTAAGTCTGATCATGTCTCTGCATTTGCTTTGGCCCCGTTTGGCGGTGGGTCAGTGCCAGTGTAAGAGGCACAAACGGCCGGCTTTCATTAGCTGTTAATCTG